TTTTTTCAGGTTCTGGTCCTTAGTAGCTCAGCCTTCCCGCAATGATTGCCGTGTGTCACAGGATGCTGCAGAAAGAGCAAACGTTTCTAATCCATCAGTTTTCTAATGTGCCTGGAGGTACCATCACAGATAACCTTGAGGAGGAAAATCAATCTGAAACTTCATTAGGAGCGTTGCATAGATGTCTGTGCTGATGTAATGCGCTCTGGTTCCCGTCGGGAAGCAGGGAGGGTTTTGGCTGCAAAATTGTGCTGGTATTGTAGTAACATGCAGCAAGCAGGCAGAGGGGGAGCTGCGAGGAAAGAATTGCCCTGATCCAAACAAGATGTGCAAATGGCATTAATTAAAAACTCCCCTTCCTGTGAGGTATCCTCTTTGTGTTTCAGAGATAACAGAAAAAAAGAAAAAATCTTATGTTTGTCTGGTTCAACCCAAATGGTAACTGCAGAAGGTTCTGGATCATGGGTGCGCCCAGGGCTGCAAATCCACAGGACTGGCTGTGTAATACAGCTGCGGAGAGGAACAGGCAGGAGTGAAATGTTAATCAGAGCTTCAGGAGAGCCTCACATATCCTAGACTCATGTCACTCCAGCACCTCATCAAACAGGAAATTGCTTTTCCAGGGTCATCTGGGATCTTGGCACAAATCAGCGTGTCATCAGCATAATAATGGCAACTGAAATAATGCCTGTGCACAGAAGCACCTCTGCACGCTGCCTTCTGTGAGCAAAACATTCAAGACAAAACCAACAGCATTTTAGTTTCCTGATGAAAAGACCTAGGAAAAGTAAAATTCAGGCACTTCCTTCCCCTGTGGTGAACCATGTGCCAATGGCAACTCTCATGCACAGGCATCCCTCTCCGCCGCTCAGCCCGTGTACCACTCAGGTTTGGGGATGCTCCAGAACAAAAGCTGCACTTCCTGCCTGCAGTCCCCCAGCAAGATATGTCTTAATGGCCTTGCTGATAAAGATGCCTATGAACGAGGTGATGGACATGTGGGTTAATGGTTATGGCAACACAAAGTGTTTCCAAGGTGCTTGTGAGCTCAGAGGACTCATGGGCTGGAGGAGCACCAGGGACAGCTCCTATGGCTCCATGAGCCACCTGCATCCCTCCATGAGCTGCCTGGCCCCTTATAAGTAGGATCCTGTTTTTCCATCTTGCAGTGGACCCCATAGTGCTCCCCAGTTGTCTCCATTTTGCCTGCTGAGCCAGTGAGTCTGTTCAGCTGCAGCTCTGTCTGCATCCCACCTTCATCTCTGACACAAATTGTGCCACCGAAATCCCTTATTAGAAAAACTGTCACATCAGCAAAGGTACACCATGGCGTGAGCTTGTCAGGGAAGGCACAGGGAGCTAAAACCTCAGGAGATGCCTTGTACATCAGGCTTCTTGCAGCAACCAGTTAATTCTTTGCTTGTTTGCTCATGATGACAGGTGAGCAAAGCGCAGGAGAAAGCTCGTGAGCGTGGTACTGCACAGCACGGTGAAGGCCACATGCTGGGGAGGAGTGTGTGGTGGCTGCTAGCCACAGATTTGTTTTCTTGAGCGCTTGACATCCCCTCAGGCACAGTGGTAGAATTTGAAGCATGTTTCCTAAATCCTTGCGGTTAAGCTAGAAATAATGCATTTATGAGATCAGAGGCAGTTCACTGCTCGCGTTAAGTGCCTTGAAAAGTCTGAGTCACTTGTGCGGGGTGGTTGCCATTGGAGGTCTGGCCATCTTTCTGCAAAAGACTTTGTTATCGCTGCAAACACTGCTGATGCTGTGCACGCAACACAGCTGCTGCTTTCCTGCTGGGTTTGAACACAGCATCCTCCCACGGCCCCCGTGGGTTGGGTTGTATGGTCCTTCCTTTAAGATAATTAACAAAAACCTGGGCATGCTTGAAAAGGGACAGAAGGTGGTATTGAGATTTGGGAAATTAGGCTTGATATGAGACTCATTAAAGCTGGTGGTAGTCTGTCTTCTGACTTCAGTTGATCACACTGACACAGTAGAGCATTTTATATCTCATCTTATACAAATTTAAGCCCAGATAGTAAAAAAGATTTCTCTAGAGGTGCCCATATCCCTGTTAGGTTAGGTCCTATGGAAAATTGAGGATTTAGCTTTACCTTTACCTCTTGAAGGCTTGCAGGTTAGGCAGCAGCATGGTGGTTATGTTATGGCGGCTCCTTCAGTAACCTCTGCAGGGGTTATGGACACAGTGCTGGGAGGGTTCAGGTGGGGATTGATGCCTGGTTCTCCTGCCTGTGCCTCAGTGGGTGTTATGTGCTCAGTCTGATGATGTCAGTGTACAACGTGGGGCACTTTTTTGAAAATGAAGCATAAATGTAAATGTGTTGGAAGTGTGGAGACCTGCCTTCCCCTGCTGAGCTACCCTGCTCCTCCCTGACCCAGGGAAGCCCCTTAATTTCCTGCAGGTCTTGGGTAAGGTCAGCAGGTTCCACCAATGGACAAATTCAGAAGTAATTACCCCATCTTAATGTGGATTTTCAGCACACTAAGCTTGAGGTGACTTGAAAGGTCCTGTATCCCTGCCCAGTGCCAGCCTGTCTGTTGACTGGGCCAGAAGTTTGGTGTTTGCAGCCAGGGCTGTTTGATTGTCTCATCTCAGCAGGTAATAACATCACTCATTAGTTTCCTAATTTGTGCTGTCCAAAACTACCTGAATTTCTAGGAATTAAAGCCTGCATGAAACCTGGTGCAGCAGTGAATGCAAATGGAAGTAGGACTGGATATGTTAAAAAAGGTTGTTAGATTATAGAAAATCAGCTGGGCCTGAGGGGTACCTCAGGTGGAGGTACTTCTGTGGGGGGTGTTGTGGGCACTGTGATGCTTTGTTACTGTCCTGGTAATTGATTTAGAAGTCACCCACTGTTCTTGATGATAAATGTTGCCTTGAGGCTGTTCCAGCCACAGATCTGAGAGGAGCAGTTTTGGGGGAAGTCAAACCAAAGGTAATAGTTTAAATTAGATGGATGATGTTTAAATCACCTTGAATGTGAGACTCTCTTAGATCCCTACGTTGTGCAACCATTGGGCACAACTGTGTATGTAGGTATGGCTTGACCTCACAACAGCTGTGAGTGTTGATTCAGGTGAGTGTTGGGTCAGGTTTGTGTTGGCGAATGGCTTTCTGATGGAAAGCATTTAAAATATCTTATATTGAACAGAACTGTGGTGTGGGAGTTGACAAAGGTTAATGGTAAATGGGAAATAGTAATAGCAACAGGAGAAAACGTGCAAATGTGAGTAGTGAATGTGTGCATACTGTGTAATCACGCAGGAGTAAAACGCAGAGAGGTTGCTTTGCCAGCTCCTAAAATGCAGAGACCTTTGATACAAAATCAGGCAGCCTATTGCTGTATTTTCTGTAGAAATAATAAAAAAAAAAAGGATATTGAATTAAACTGAATTGTATTTTATAGCATCTGCGGTGCAGGACTTCTTCAGCTTGCCACCTGCTCCTGCATGCCACGCACATCCCACTGCCTTTGCTGGGAGTAGTCAACAGAAACAGGAGAGGAGACAAAATGCCTCAGGGAAAGCTTTTAATACCATTACCTGACGTCAGTTGTAGCACTTGGCTCTTGAGGCGAGGAGCTGAGTGGCCCACCATTAGCAGGAGTTGTTTGGTGCTGCCGGCTGGCCAGGCAGGAGCTGCTGTGCTGCTCCTGGCCGAGGGACAGGGCTTTCTCCCCAGTGCCTTCTTGGGATTGGTCAGAGCCTCTGGTTGTTTTGCAATCAGTGGAAATGGTGCTTTTCTGTTTGCAGCCGAATAGCCGTGAACTGGTTGAATTTGGCAGCAGCCCCAGCCTCAGTTTCTCCAGAGCTGTTGGCAGCTTTGCAGGGGATGGGTACCACGTGTGCTGGCCCATCTGCTGATGAACCTGGTTCTCCGGGTCAATTCAGGCTGTGACTGTGTCTCAAAGCTTTTTTCTTTGTTGTCTACCCTGTCCTTTAGTCTCTTGTTTCTGTAATCTAATATTTGGGGCATCATTAAAGATATTTAAGCCTTTTGTTATGATTGCAGTACCACAGCAGCATCTTTTCCTTCTGGGAATGGGCTGTGACAGTTCCCTAGGCTTTGTTTTGAACTGTTTGGGATGAAGACCTAGCTCTGCGCTCCTGCGTGGACCAGAGACAAGGTGGATGGACCGATGCCCTGCCCAGGCTGGCTGCTGCGTCTTCAGTCTCCAGAGCTGTTTCATTGTTGTGTTTTGCATCTGAGAATAGCAGCGTCTCGGAGCCAGGTCATGCTAAGTGGGAGAGGTTATTTTAAGCTGTCATGTCTGAGGAGCAGTGATGTCAGTTCTCCAGCTCTTTTATTTATTTATTTACCAGTTTTAAACATTAAGTAAAAGAAAAAGAAATAGTGAGTGACCAGCTGTATTCATGTGCAGCTATAGCTGTGGTACAGCCTGATGAACACCAAGGGCACATTTAAGCTGTGCCGTGGCCTCTGGGTTGATTGGAGCCAGATGCCATGGGTATGTCTCATCTGACCTGCCTCTTGTTATCCAGGGCTGTGATCACGATCTCATGCCCAAGTCAGTGCCTGAACATTTCCAGTCACTGGTGTGGTCATTAGGGGCTGGGAAGGGAAGAGGATGTCTTCTCCAATGGGCCCGTGTTTTGTACATCAATGAGGAGAGGAGGTTGGAAAGAACAGAACCACCTGGAACAGTTTGAAATGGAGCAGGTAGAAACCACTGACCTAGGATTCATCCCTCCTTAAAGGTCCTCTGTGCATCAACTGCTGAAAGGCTGGTGAAAGATCAGTGATTAAGAGATGGTCTTCACCTGGGGATATAGTGTTCTTTCTTGTTTCTGCTCAGCACAAGGTACCACCAGATTCCTGGTTGGAGTTTAAAGTGTGTGACTAAAATTTACTTTTCAGGCCCTCAGACAAAGGGATTTATTTAATTTCTCTTACTGCTCCTCCCCTCGAAGCTCTGTTCTGAATTTCCACGTTCCCTTTTCTCTGCAGAATGAAGTGGAGCTGGGAGAGCTGCTGTTGTCGCTAAACTACCTACCCAGTGCGGGTAGACTGAACGTGGACATCATTAGAGCCAAACAGCTTCTTCAGACAGACATGAGCCAAGGTTCAGGTAAAGGGCAGTGCGTTTCTCACATTACTCATGCACAGCTTATATGTGCTTTTAAAACAGGTCAGTGGTGAGACTGCAATTTGTGAGGGACCCAGGAGGATTTGGATGCTCAGTCCCTATTAATACAGGGCTCTGGATATTCATTTTGTATATACAGTCAACAGTAACAAAAATATTTGGAATGCATACCCTGAGATAAAATGGAGACTGTAAATACCTTTGCCATATTTAAAGTAAAAATCTCTGAACCAGGGTGTGGTGAGGAACCAGGAGCCCTAATTTACCCCCATGTTGTGTTCTCTCCCTTGCTGTGCTGTGTTTTGCAGATGCTGCATGCTGCCCAAGTGTTAATGTTGCAGTGGTTTCCTTTACGATATCTAAATGCTCCGTGTGAAGTTTTTCCAGTGTCCACGCTTTGCTTCCTGCCATTTCTGAGCATGCTGGCTCAGAGACACACATATGTTCCCAGGTGCTTTTTCCATGCTCCTTGCCCCAGCCAGAAAATTGGCATTTCCCAGGAAGAGCAGGGTGCTTGGCCTCTGCCAAGGCTGTCATTGTGGTTTTGGCAGAAAGCATTTTTAATCCAGATGCCTGACTTTTGTATCTGCTGCAAATCCCTGGGAGCAGTGCGGTGGTACAAGTACCAGTCATTTCCAGATGCCATTTTCCAGCATGGTCCATCCCACAGCGCCCAGCCTTCACAACCTGAAGCACTGACTCATGGTGCCTGTAATGCAGAGCCTGTCTTTTGTGTTTTTTTTGTCAGATCCCTTTGTGAAAATTCAGCTTGTTCATGGATTAAAATTAACAAAAACCAAAAAGACTTCCTGCATGCGGGGGACGATAGATCCCTTCTACAACGAGTCCTTCAGCTTCAAGGTTCCCCAGGAAGAGCTGGAGAATGCCAGCCTGGTCTTCACAGGTAAAGGCAGTGGCATTACCGACTCAGTGCAGTTGTATTTGCTGTCAAGGTGAACAAAGCAGCAGTTGTGGGTGCACGGATGAGCCTGTGCGGGACAGTGCCTGTCCCAGTAACCACCCTGCAAGGGGTGAGCGTCTCCAGAGACTCCAGGGAAGCTTAATTAGTACTCTGTCCTCTGCAGGAGCTGTTCCCAGCATTGCCACCTGACAGCTGGAGCGGGCTGGGAGCGTACCTCCTTGGTCCTGTGCTTAATTGATGCCACTGGGGATGCTTTTATGCAGAGGAGAAGGGGGTGTTAATTGCATTTTTAAATTTTCATTATGGCATTATGCCCAACTTGGGTATAAAATGAAAAATTAGAAGAATGAGAGGGAAGCATCGCATGATCCCAGAGCCCAAACACTGCAAAGATAACTTGTGGTACTTGACATAATTTGCTGGTGAGGCTATGCAGCTGTAGGTGTTTGGCGCTGACCTCGCCTGTTCTGTAAGCAGGTTTGTTGTTGCCATTTTTATTTTTTTTTAAAGGTCTGGGACTCAGTGGAAGTGTTTGGCCACAATAGGAATTTTTATTTTAAAATGATTTCTGAATCTCCTATTTTAGGCATGAAAGCATTCAGTAGCAATTGGCAATGGGGTGCGCTGCGGGGGCATAGCAGCAAAGCACAGGGATGTGTCCCTGGCCACGCTCTTGCCTGCAAACTGGGCAGCACTGATGGGGCTTGACTGAGGCCATGGACCTTGCAGAAAACCTTCTGGTGCAGACACCACTGTGGCCGGTGACCTTTGCTGCCGCTCCATAGCGTGGAGGTCATGGGCAGGGCTGCAGGGACCCTTAGGAAGTGATGGGTTTCCCTTTTGTGCCATGGCTCTGCCCAGACCTTATGTGGTGTGGAGTTCAGGGCACCGGCAGGAGCAGGATCAGATCTTCTTGCCCTCTGGAGGAGCAGAGGGGTTGGGACTGGGCAGCAAGACCCATGCTCTTCAGCCACATGGGGCTCCTGTGCTTCACAAACTGAGCAACTTTCCACCCATTACTCGCCATCTTTTGATGAAGAGAAAGGAATCTGCATCTGAAAGAGTATATTTTGAATTATTTTTTAATTTTATTACTTAGATGGCAGATACAGGTGTCAAAGCTGGTGTAAGGAACATAATTCCAACCCATTAGTTAGTTTCCAAACATGTTATACCAAAAGTGATGCTGATCAGCAATTTAAATTTTGCCCTTCATACTCAGAAATTTCCTCAGCAAAAAGTCTATAATTAATCACTGCTTTGCATGTGTCATCCTGACTGTACCTTGCATGTGCAATGATTAATTTGTTCTTGGAAGCTTCCATCAGGAGATCTTGTGACAGGTGTGAAATACTCTTATTTGTTTTCTCCTTTTTCTAATAGAAGAAGAAAGGGCAAACAGAGTAGCAGCCCTGTGCGGTCAGAAGGGTGAGGGAAATACACCGCCCCTCGCCGTGGCTGATGAAGTTAGCATTAATGATTGCATGTCTGGTTATTTTTTTCTGTGGAAATGGATGTATTCTCAAATAAGTCACTGGGAAGTTAACCGATTTATAATTGCATGCAATGCAGTCAGATTTCAGTGTCGTGCCTTTTAAGTGGTGCTTCACTTTCTAAGTGACATGTTGCTTGCTTTGAACATTGCAATAAATAATCCCAGGCCAGAAATGTCACCAGCAGCTCCGAAGCTGGGAAAGTGCATTCAGATGTTTTTGGAGGAGCAGCAGGGCCAGGTTCTTGTGGCTGCTCTCAGACTGAAGGGTGAGGTACGGCATTGCTCTGGGCATTGTTGGGCTTGCCGCTTTTGTTCTGGTTGGAACTGTGTTTGAGATGCATGGTTTGTGTTGGCAATACATAGCTGGAGCTGAAGGTGTTGGTCATGTTGTTGTGTATGATCTTCTGCAGTGTCACAGGAGTGAGGTGACTCAGGGACGCAGTGTTGGTGAAGATGCTGAGCCACGTTCAGTGTTCGTCTCTGATGGAGGTGCTCCAGATGTTGGTGGAAGCTGTCCCCAACAGGGAGCGCAGCACCAGTTTCTTGTGTGCATCTATGAGGTTTTTAATAAAATGAGTATGAGCATGCAGCTTGGCTGAAGGTCTGGGGTGGGGATAGTGGTACTCCCCATATAGCTGCCTTCTTGGCATGTCAGGGTATCGTGCAGATTAAAAGCTTGTAAAGGGCTTTGGGATTCTGTTAAAAGGCAATAAAGAGCGAATGGTTGCCAGCATGGAGAAGCTGTACCTCACAATGTGAGGATCTTTTTATTATTTTACATCTCTACAAAGCAGGAGCATAAGCCACTTTTTTTTTCTCTAGGTTTTTTGGTTTTATTTGGGGTTTGTTTTTGGCTGCAGTGGTGGTTCTTTGTTGTCTGTTTTGCGGGAGTTGTTTTTTATTTCTTTTTTTTTTCCCCCTATCTGCAGCTCTAGTCCATTAGGTCAGTTAATTAAATTTGCTGTTGAGTCAAAGTCCAATTGTAAAGGAAAATAATCCTGCTTGAAGGGTGGAGGATGATGCTTTGAATGCAGAGAGGGCTGTAAAATCAGTCATAAGTGGCTTCAATATCTTCAATAATTTAAAAGAACTTTAGTTGTGGCTTTATATTTTGGACCCAGTCTGCAGCTGTCTTTACATTGGCTTGACTTCACTGGAAAGCAGTGGAGCCGTGCCAGTCCCTATCAGCTGAGGCTCCTGGCTCCCTCTGTGTGGCAAAGTGAGGCACTTATCTAGACAAAGTAAGATTAATTTTTTTTTCTCCTCTGTGTGTTTTTCATATGTGCATCTTGGGTCAAACTGTCCAGGATTAGTGCACTGTAGTAAGAATTTATGCAGCATTTTGTTGTGACTTTAGCAGGGGCTGTGTGTGCAAACACTGCAGATGGATGGTTTTCTGTAAAGTGTTGTTCTGCTCCCTGGTTTCCTGGTGGTGCTTTGGAGAGCTGGACTTTGAACCAAACTCAGGGTTGAAGTGCAGCTGGACTAGGAGATGGGCAGTGGGTGCCTCCAAGATGGGATTCACAAGGTGAACTCTGCGTTAGCCAATATTTAGTGGGGGTTTGGACTGCTTCTTAGATCTTTCCTCTTCCTTGGGCATACTGGGATTCAACACTGTAAATTATTGGCATTTACAGACCAAAATGCTTTTCCTTCCACATTGGTGCAAGCTGTCTTCCTGCCTTCCCCTGTTCCTACCTCAGATGCTTACGGGATCTGTCACTAACTCATATCTCCCAGTTTGGTGCCTAAAATGAGGTGGGATGAGCTGAGGTGGAGATGTCCTCTCCAGGGTCACGGTTGCTGCTACAAGTATTGTCTCTTCACAGCTTCTCACCAAAAGAAGCTGAAACCAGGAAAGTGACTGATACTCAACAAATTGAATGTCCCAACAGAAAAAAGACAATGAGTGAGGAAACAGCTAGTGGAGATGATGGTTGATTTTCATTTACTCCATCAAACATATTGTCTAGGTAACAAACATCCCTATTTATACTGTAACAGAAATTCACTTCTTTGGGTGGTTGCTTTTTTATTTTTTGGCAACTTGATGCACATCCCCTACGTACCATCTTCTGCTAGGGTGCAAGCAAGTCATGGTTTCACTTCTTGCAGAGAAACAGGGCAGACTTTACAAGATGGTATGTTCTTGTGTACCTGTGAACAAAGGTGTTAATTATTCTTTGTCCCATGGTAGAGGAAGGTGGAGTTTGACCCCAGCAGCAGGGCTGTCAGCTGCTGCCCGAGGTAATTTCCAAGCAGAAAAAAGGAAATCAGAGGTGCGACTGCAGCCCTTGCATGTGGCAGGACTGGATGCTGGGCACCTAAAAGCACCGTGCTCTCCCTGCTAATGAGTTCTGGGCAGGTTGTCCTCTGAATCCCAGCCTAACCTTCAGAAAGTCTGGGCTGTGCAGCAGGAGGTGAGACGACACCTGAAATCCGTGGCATTTTGTTAATGATTATAATGTTGTTAATAACAGTCTTCTGTAATGTTGTTTGCATAGCAGTAAAGCCCAGATGGCCCAATAAAAGACACCAGCTCCAGGACAAACTGCATCTTGGCGACTCGTTAACATCTTTTGATCACTTACCATAAAAATTAAAACCTTCAGGGCTCAGTTAGGGAATATATCTCTCCCCGAGGTCCTGTGGTGACTGTGTGTATCTTTCTCCATCTATATAAGCTCTTGTACCTGTTTAGATGACAGGACTTTAAGGCTTGTGAGGCAAGCAGGAGGAAAAGCAAAGAGGAAAAAATAATTTTTGTGCTCTGGGTACCATCTGTGCAAATGCAGAGGGGAAAAGCTGCTTTGTCATTTGATCTGGCCAAGAGCCGGAGCTGAGTCAAGCATTGAGGCTGGTGGTGTCTGATGGAGCATGGTGGTGGGGCTCGTCCTGCTGCACCGTTCCCATGTGGAAGGTGGCGATGGCTTTGGCAGGACAGGATGTGCTGCCCAGCGGAGGGAAGAGGGCTAGGGCAGGGTTTGCTTCTTGATGAAGAGGTGGCCTTGATACCTGCGTGACTGCTGGTGAGATCTTCATCATGAGCACTGGCTGAGAAGGCAACTCACAGCCACTCTCTCTTCTGAACCATTCATAGGACTTTTTACCACACCGAGTGACTCGCGGAAAGAAGACTCCACAATCTTTAAGGTTGTAAAGTAGGTATGTTTATTGCACGCGCGGGTGCACGGGGGATCACTCCTCTGCAGATGTGCGCACTTAAAACAGCAATTTCCTTTGATTTTATACAGTAACATATTGCCTGTTCATTAAGTGCCTCTACATATTCATAACCTTTCCCCGAAAAGGTGGTCCTTTTCCAAGAAGTCCTTTGCATGTGCTCCACCTTCTTCTCCTCCCAGTCGTGCCTGCGCAGTGCCTCGTGGTGGTCGTGGGCCAGGGTCTCGAAGATGAAGTAAGTAGTCTTCATTGTGCTGAACTCCCATAACCTTCTTTTGGCACATACTCCTGGAACTTCTCCAAGTCACAGAGTCGGTTTTATCTGGTTTTTAGGCTGTTTCAGTTTCTATTTCTCTATACTTCATTTCCCTTATTCAATACCCTATTGTTACATGCCTGGTAACCTCAGTTTCCCATTAATTTCTATAAGCTATTCAATTCCTTGGTTACATGATTGCTAGGTTTTACCTAGACCCTAGCCCTAAACTGCAAGCCCCCCATTTCACGAGGGCTGTAACGTGTATCTTCTCACCCCTTCATCACTTCCATGCTTTATCCCAGGGCTGTAATCAACTTCCAGTTAACAGGTAGTACTTGATTAAAGTAACAGATTGCTGTTCAGTTGCAAGATACCTCTTCCTCATTTTCCCTTTCCCTTGGCCTTTGGGAAACTTTAAGGGCCATTTAATGAAGTTTGAATTCTGAGAGAAAAAAAATACCAGTGTTGATGTGTGCTGTTTAATGGTGCAGTTCAGGGTAGTTTAGTTTGGTTTGCTTTCACTGAAATATTTTTGAAAAAATGCTGCCTGTTTGGGCATATTCATTCCTTATGTGGCATTACAGCCTGAAAGAAAGGGAATTAGTTCTTACTTGAAATCCTGACTTCTTGTGGGTGGGGGATGTTTTGAATAAATAGTCACTAATGGCATGGACAGCCTCTGGTGAGCCCAGCTCTGGTCTGCTGTCACCTTTCACTCCCAGGAATGCTGGAGATGCTCTGGTACAGACCAGTTTGGTTTTGTATGTTGTCTAATGAGCATTTTTTTGATGTTTGGTAGAAAATGTTCTCGGGTGCTCTTGATCCACATGACAGAGTTTCTGGGACACTCGTGGGTGGTGGAGATGGTGGGGAGGAGAGCAGCCTTGACCTGGCAGAAGAGGCTGTATGGAGATGAGCCAGAGCTGAAGGTGGTCATTGACTCCAGCCCTCACCTTTCAAGGGAGCCTGGGTTAGGTGGAGGGGCAAACTGATGTGCCAAAGGTTTTCAGCTCACAGGCCCACACTGACCCATCACAACTGGAAATAAAACTAACAGGATTCATTCTGGGTGGGTCCTAAAGTTGGGCCTCCAGGTGGCTTGAGTCCTGATTGAGGAGAAGATGGCTGAAGCTCCTCAAACCTTAAAACTATTTGTTTTTTCCCCATCAAACTTGATGGTGGTCAGACTTGTGGTGCAGACGTTGGAGACAAGGTGATGCTATCAGTGTTTGCCTGCGCTGCACAAGATTTGTAAAAGGTCCATGAATGGGATGCAGAGATAGCGAGGCTTTCCAATGGCTTTTTTTTTTTTTTAACAGGCTGATTTCCAAATGTTCCAATTAGCTGAGCAGGTTGAAGGCTGATAATGGTTTTGTCCTCAGGCTTCTCCAGAAATACACCTGAATTTTTATTTGCCTGGCTATGTGAGAGCATGGCCTTCAGACACCTGCATGTTTGCAGGGGTGAAACCACACTGTGTTTGGGGTCATTATACATATACGTTTTGACTTGCTGCTTCAGATGCTCTTCTCTCCTTTCTCCTATTGCTTTTTCTTTCCTACAAAAATATTGAGGCACTTTGTCTTTTGCACACATATACAGGGAAAAAAGAAATCTTCTCTAGTATATGAGGCAAATGAAACTTTTTTTTTCCCCATGCTGGAATGCAGGAGGAAGAAGTGGTTTCTGTTTTGATACGCTATTATGTTGGGCACCATAATATCTCTTGGATAGATAATTAGGCAACTTGCTGCTAGAAATTTCTTTCTTCTTGTTTATTCAGCGTGTGTTTCTGAAGCATTGGACTGTCTGTATGTTCCACATATCTGGAGCTCAGAAGCAGAATCTCATCTGTGCTTAAACCTGTGTAATCCTATCTTAGCCAAAGGGGAAAAAAAGAAGAAGAATACATTGATACCAGCACTGAATTTTCTGGGGATTTACACTTGCTTAATTTAAATCAGAATTTGGCCTTTGTGTCTAGCTTTATAAAGTACTTTGTTTATGCACTGGACACCATATGGTCCGTGCTGTGTCTGGGGAGAGCAGAGTGCTCCTGGCCAGTGCCTCTCACAGTCCCGGCTGCTTTACTCCGAGTCCTGTGACCACAGCAGGTCCTGTGAGGCCATCTCCTGCTCTTGAGGCAATGGGAGAGGGGCTTGGGGAGATGTGCTGGCAGCAGGAGACCTTGGCTTCTAGGACACCACCATGCCCTGCAGAGCCTCTCCACAGCAGGTATGATGAGCTTTGAAACCCTTGTGGGAGGAGGAAGGTCCCCATTGCTCTCCACCCTCCAGATGGCTGTGGCTTCCCAGTCTCCACAGGAGGTGCTGTTTGTCAGCCTGGAGTAGGGGACTGCAGAACAGGCAGCGAGGGTTGGTTGAAGATGCCGAGTGGGATCCTGCAGCCCTTATCCTGCTTGGTGTCACCTCTGGGTTTGGGTCACTCAGAGAAGATGCTCCAGGGTTGGGTTTGGCTTTTTTCAGCAGCCTTGCTGAGGAGTGAAACACTATTAATCCTGGTGAGAGCAACAAGATGCTGCTGCTTCCTGAGCCAATCTGTTGCTTGCTTAGAAGGCAAAATTAGACTCTGCAAGTGAACTGATCCTGTTAGTGAGTCATGTGCAGCTTCAGAGCCTGTACCTGATTGAAGACGTGGCAGAAACGGATTGTGCTGCAGCTCTCTGGAATATTTAAGGAATCTTTTCTTCTAAAGAAAGGAGCAAACCCTCCTCTCTTCAGACTGATCATCGGCGCTTTCTCATTTTGCCGAGCCCATTGATTTAAGCAGTGTCATGTCTCTCTTGACCTTGGCATTTCATCTTGTTTTACTCATGCCATGCTGAAAGAAATTGTTGAAATATTTTACAAGACCATAATCTTTCTCCGTATCAAATGAGGAAACCTCAGTGGCAATAGCTGCTCTGGGCAGCAGAGCTGTGTGTGGAGATGAAATGGCTGCATCTGGCCCCATGGTCGTCAGAGGAGATGTGTGAACGTGCCAGCAGAAGCTGTCCCTCCTGCGTGGCTATGCCAGCCTTTGTTTGCAGGTGCTATACAGCGTTGGTGTTGGAGCATGTTCATGTGAGGTATATGAATGGGCATGGAACCATTCATGTACTTTGTTGGATCTGGGGCTTATGGTGCAGAGAATTGAGCTGTGATTGAAAAAAAAAAAAATAAAAAAAAAGAAGGAATTGGAGGTGGAGAAAGCCAGCTGTGGATACTCCTTTTCGGCATCCCCTGGGCTGTTGCAAAGATGCATCCACTTCACTATTCCAGTTTTTCCTGATGAGATATCATCCCTGCATGTCTTGGAGACCTCTGCAAGATGCACTTGTGTGTTTGCGTTTCCCCTGCTCCCTGGGTTCCTGCTCTCTCCTGCAGGATTTTCCTCTCCCTTTCTGAGGCTGGACCCAGCTGAGCCCAACACCTGACTCAGGGCATCCGCAGGATCCCCTTCCCAGGCTGCCCCAGCCAGAGCACAGGGGCTGCCCTCACAGCAGGATGAGGAGGGAACTCATTTTCCAAAGGGCGTTTCCTTGGCATGGTGGCGTTATCCCACATGGAGCAGCAGCTGGATGCTGGAGCTGCAGTGGGTTTGTGCGTGGCTGGAATTTGCTCCAGTTCCCTCTGGAGCTGGGCAGTTGCATTGGGGGGATGCTGGACAGTGTGTTTTACGTCTGCATCAGAGCCTGATGGAGATTAAATTGATAAATGTGAAACCACTGCATCTTCTGTGCTTTTCTGTCCTCTCTACTGAATATTACAGGCCATGCTCAAGGAGCTAAGGGCAGAATTTGGTCCGTACCTGCGACCTTCGCAGCAAGCATCATTAGTCCTGCTGCTGCCTGCTCCTAGCAGCACCCTCTTTGTGCTAAACAGCTTTTAACTATTGATGTCAAGCAGTTCAGAAGTAATTTCCAGACCTGCTTAACCTGACTCCTCAGACCCACTGGCTGATGGGCAGAGCTCAGCGGCCAGCACAGAAAAGGCTGAGCACTGGTTTCTACTGGGAAAGGATGGGGAGCAAAGCGTTGCCCATGTGAGTGGTGCGAGCATGTGAAATAGGGCACTTTTTGAGACCCTGTCAAGCTTTGAGGGTGAGGAAGTGCAGGAGGTGTTGATGGTTCAGTGCTAACAGGATAATGATTCCTGCCAGAAGGAACCCCAAGGTCTCATGTCACCTGTGTCCTTGGGGACACTTTGCTGCTTGGTTGCCCTTGTGCAGCCTCGGGCACATCTTTGTTGATTTTTCCCTTTTCCCCTGGTTTGGCTGTAATTTGAGGATGCCCCTGGGTGCAGCGTGCAGAGTGGCCACTGAAGCAGGACGCTGGTGGCCGAAGGTTTCTGGGTGCAGGTTTTGCAGCACAACGGCAGCTTGCAGTGAGCACAGCTGTGGGAGCACAGTCACGTTTCTGGGTTAGGTGTGCTGTGCTGCACAGCCCTTGCAGGAACTACAAATATATACCAGGTAGGTGTTTATTCAGTCCCTAGCCTGATGGGCCAAGGATATCAGAGGAAACTTACAGACTGTGGCATCAGCAACTGCTGGTATATAATAGTGGGTAGGACTCTTTCTAACAACTTTCATGCCTGATGATTGTCTCAGGCACTCAATATTCTCCTCTAGACCAGCTATAAAAATGAAGCTGTATTTTTGCTCTCTAGTAGTTAGATTAAATAGCTTTATCCTGTAGTGGAAAGGAAAAGAGCAGGGCCCTCTAATTCCCTGGGGGTTTCTTCCACATGGAGCTGGTTCCTGTGGCTGTGTTGGCTGTGCTGGGAGAAGCCCCTGGCTGTGGGGATCTGGCTCTGTAATCGTGCCGGCTGGTGTGTTGTACTGCAATGTTGTGTGTTGTCACCAAGGGTTGATCGGTTATTTGTGGCCTTTTGAAATATGCACAATGCAACCAAATTGCATTTAAAAATAAATTTTTTTAAAAAGAAGCTAACTTTGGGAGCAATTTGTTAGAGAGTGAGTGATGGTGTGCTGTAAATAAGCTAATGGCAAACTAGTGCAAACTGGGTGAATACGTTCTGCTTGGTGTCTAGCCTGAATAAGAAGGCAGATGAAAAACAGAGGCGTGTTCCTGCTTGTTATTTGTCTTCTCTCTGAGTTAAATGGTTTTAATTGCATTGTAGGTAACTGATGTAGGTGATTTGAGTTGAATTATTTGTGCCAGAGCCCACCCACTCCAGTGCACGGAGGTTTCTCTACCCGTCACTCCGGAGAGGCTGCAGTGGGTGATCCCTGTAGTAGATGCTCTGGCAGCTGCAGGCGGCAGCAGAGGCACTGTGTGGCCGTACTTAGTGCTGCAGCGTGGCCGTAACTGCCGAGTAACTGTTGGGCAAGGCTGGCAGAGGGTTTGCAGGAGATGCAGGTGGTTTCTGACCCCAGCTGAGCTTCTGTGTAAAGCTTGTTCCCTTTCACATAAGTGGTACTGATTGCCTTGAAGTTAGCTTAAAGGCATTTTCTGAATTAGTGCTCCTTCCTGGTCGTTTCAAGGCTGCTAATATGTTCAATCAAAGGAATCAAATTAATATTTGAAATAACAGCTTCAATTCTGCTATTGCACATAAGTCATAAATCATGATTACGTGGCAGTCAGGCTTTTCTTAAGTGCCTGGTTTGCAAGTCTCAGCATGGAGACAAGTGAAATGTTTTGGCTGGATCTGGTGCCTGGGCTGATGGGTCAGAGGTGACCTGAGTACCAGGTTATGAAGCGATAAGCAAAACTGTCAGCAGGTAAAAAGCAATTCTAAGTGACCAAGGAGACAAGGGAAAGGTAAGGCTGGAGTTGCACCTGGAGCCAGATGTTGGAGCTCCAAGTCCCATCTCATCTCCTGGCAGCCCTTGTCACCCTTGGGGTGCAGCTCGGGGCTGTGCAGTGCCTGGTACTGC